TGAGCCAAAAGGCATTACTGAATTTTGAATAGACCGACTGTTTTTAGCATCCTAAATTTATGCACCCCGTTACATCCTTTTGATATTTTACGATATGAGGTTGATTATAAGCTTGATTCAAATTATTATCCTGGGGCACACCACAACCGAAGTGAATTAAGTTTGTGTATGGCACTGGGCACCATAATGCCTCCCTCAATACCTTAAACATTTCCAAGTAGTATAAAAGAAATATCGAATAAAAGTATACAAAAAATACACTTCTTGGTTTTGAAATAATTTTTAAAAACTTATGGTTCTCGTTTCCAGAGACAACTCCACCAAATCAAGATTCATCTGCGTCCTTGATTTCCGCCCTTCTTTCTTATGAATATGATCCCTGATTTAAGTATCAATAGATATTGTTTCTAGTGGCGTAGTTACTATTACTGCCGCAATGGGTGTCGAAATATTTTTGCCGCCCTTGTTACGCACCGACTTCTATTGTGAGAACTTAATCTCTTATTTTAATTTTATGACAGGTTCAAACAGTGCATAACAATGGACGATACCATAGAGAAATAAAATAGCAAAAATGCGACACTCAAACACTACTAATTACAATTAATACGATTTTTTAAAGTACAAATATAGTTTTAAAAAAAAGAAATAAAATTACATATCATCAACTTAAAGAGTATGAGAATGTCTTGTACCGGTACACAGTTAGTACAATGTACCAAAAAATCAGGTACAATGATGAATGTGAATAAACTCATATGAGTACACAAAGAATAATACACTGGTCTTCTAAAGTTAAAATATATCAATCAATCTCCCTCTGTTATTTCTCTGTCTGCTTTTATAGTCGGTTCTACCAAAAAAGCTAGGCGTATTCCGGATTGTATAGTAACTAGAAATTTCCACAATGCACTATACTTTTCGAACGCCTTCAATTCTACAAGAAACCGGCAATAGATGAAAGAGATTAAACCACGCCCACTCCGCACGCAGCCAAATTTTGGGGTCAACCAGAGTTCACGGCACTGGTAAAGTGTCGTAGACACGTCATACTTAACACCCTCCTTTTCAGCTGTCCTAAAATACTACACCTACATATAAAGAACAAGTGACACCTGGGTTGACCGCCCTATTTCGAAGCCGTTAGCAGGAGCGTATCTATAGTGTTTGGCGTCAGGGGACAATATTACTTTTTACACAAACCCTCAACTCTGAATCCCATTATTTTCAACCATTAAATACCATCAAAGCCAATATACTTCAACCTCTCTAGTCTGGCGTTTCAGGCCATATGTCTTATCTGCCACCCCTAGCTATGCTTCTGTCAACTGGCACTGCCCACCTCCCTTCAAAATCTGGAATGCCACCCCCCCCCCCCCCCCCCCCCCCCCCCACCACGGGTAAAATATCTGAATGGAAACTGATTGAGACTGTTTTGCCAAACAGAACTCAAAGTCAACTGACACTAAAGTAATTCTATTAGCCAACTATCGCTAAAGTAATTCTATATGTCCACTATGATTCAAGTCAATGTATTTGTTCACTTCACTAAAGTAATTATATGTATCCATTATTACTCACGAAATTATATTTCTACATGATCATTCAAGTAATTATATGTGTCAACTAACAGTTAAGTAATTATATCAATTAAGTATTTCTATTACTTTAATAAAAAAAAACTTTTCTATGTCAAAAATGACACTAAAGCCACCAGATGGGGCTAATCAATATTCTCTATGTAAATCCTGGCAAAACTACACCAGATGGCACTGTACATAATTCTCTATGTAATAATTGCGCCTTCTCCGGCAGATGGCGCTGAATTTCATTAAATAAACTTCCCGGTATCTGCGCTAAATGCGCTTCTTAATTAAAAATACCTCAAGGGCGTTTGGTTGGTAATAATTTATTTGTTGATGGAAATGGTGTAAAATATGCAGTGTAAAAGTCGGTGAGAAATTAGAATATTAATAGAGTTCATTGAAGTTTGCGTACTCATTGGGAATCTTATAAAGGTCGTTAGGTGTAAGCAAGTTTTGTCAAGTCACCTCATTAGATGATAAGTGACCAAATGAAGCAGTCAAGGCGTAGTGAGTCAAATAATTAAAATAATAGTTAAGTACCTTGCAAACTCCGTGACATTGTATCCTTTATCAACCGTCGCGGGATGCTTTCAACCCCAAACAGATAATAGTAATTTTTCGCGATCACCGCTTGAAGCTTCCATCTCGAATGCCGTGGCCATCTCCTAAAATACGAATAGATCAAGTGAAGCAGGTCAATGCAATGGCTATCGCCTAGAGAATGAATAGAGCAAATGGCACGTGTTATTGCTTTGGCCATCTCCTAGAATATGGATAGAGCAAGTGAAGCATGTTAATTTAAAAAAAAAAATAAAAAAATAAAAAAAAAAAAAAAAAAAAAAAAAAAAAAAAATTAGTTTAATATGTCGGTACAGTATAGCTCCAAACCCAAAAAATATTTCTTTTAAGAAAACATTGAAATGTGAAAATGATTTTTTTTTTATATGGCTTAAGTGACGAAAATGTAAAAAAAAATATATTGACCTCATATAAATTTTGTTATTAGTAAAAACAAAAAAAAAAAAGTTATTTGGAAAAAATTTAGGGATCTTTCATCTGAAGTTTAAAAAAACGTATTTTTAGATAGTCTATCATGATTACGAAGTTTTGTATTCATATTCTTTTCAAATTGGCGAGAACATTCATATATAACACAACAATCATTAGTCTAGCTTTTTAGAAATATATACATTTGTATTCAAGCTAAACAAATGTCCTTTTTCACAAGAATATTGGTGTGCTCATAAAATTGACAAATGTGTCCTTTTTCACGGTGTATATCAAATAAAACTTAAAAAATAAGTTTCTTTTTTAACATTTTTATCGTTTATACACTGAAATAATATTTACAATAATCAAAAGTATGATCTTTAAATTTGAGTAGTAGGCACTTACAAAGACGAGTGTCTTCATACGTGTTTCTAAACCAACGAGATGGATATAAGCCTTAAGAAATTATCAGCTAGTGAGGGTAATCAAATATCATAAACATTACAATCTCTTAGTGATCTTGAACTGAAGAGAATTTTAAAAAAAATAAAATTTATTCATCATTAAATTTATCCAAATACTAGACAGGAGAAATAAAATTTAGTTTATAATTTTAAAAAATATATATTAAGTCAAATAAATCGACTTGAACATTTGTTATGTATCAACTCTTTGTGTTCTTATTTGGTAAATCAAACAGGTGAAAACGATTGGCTGCATTTCACAACTTTCTCAAACAAAATTTACATTTCACTAGAAAAAAATTTTTTTTCGAAGATTTCTGCTGTTTTTTTTTTGGGGTGGGGTTGGGGTGGGGGGAGAAAGTTAATATCTAAGTCTATTACAGTGTCGTTACTTTAATCGTGTTTCTAGCTTCCACAGTACAATAGTTTTAAGAACAGATATGTTACTGTGAATCTGTAAATGAACGGCAGAATATAATTTTAAAAACAAGGAACAGTTTAAGATTTCGAAACCTGCCCGATGTCTGAACAGAAATACTAATATTATTTTCAAAATAAGCTTTTAACCATAACGTAATCTTCAATAAATAATTTCAAAAACGTTCCTTCTAACGTCTGAAAATTGAATGTGGACGCTTAAGTCATTGACAATTGGTTTAAGAAAATAACCAGTTAATATTGTATCAAATTGTGTTAATTTAACTGTCAGCTAAAGGGAAACATTAAAATTAGATCCTAAATGTTACGAGCGAAACATTTGGGTAAGACAAATTCATGTTATTTCAGCCATTTAGAAACATTATTCCTTTTTTTTTTTAAAAACAAAAAACAAAAAGTCTTTAAGGTGAGAATATGAGTGGTAGATTGAAGAAAAAATGAGCAGTTGGTTCAGCTGTCAATACTTTGTTGTAAGGGACAGAGAAAATGTCAATGTCTTAACACAGTGTTAGATTGATGCCAATTTAAACTTAGTCGATATCCCGTTGGGAGCTGAACGTATAGTTCCTGTGTGCAAGTTGTAAATTATGTGTTTCCTGAAATGCCAAGACGCCAAACTGTTCCATAACAAGTTATTTCTGAATTAATGTCACATAGTTTAGTTTTTTATATTCGTGAATTTATTTTTCTTTCCATTAAGCGGCGTTTATACGTCATTCAAACATTGAATGTTTGAGCAAGAAAGAAAAAAGCGTAGCTTATGACATTCCTAAGAGAATTATTTCCCAAAGGTTAAAAAAAAAAGTCCAGATTACTTGGTTAAGTAGGGGCAATTAACAACTGAATATATGGTGTATTGTAGTCGTCTCTTAAACAAAGAGTGTCTATGTTAATCCTTTATGTGTAATCTGTCAAGTAGAAACTTTATATTACTCTTGATGTAAAAGAATACTTAAGTCAGATGAATCATAGAATACTTATAACACAAAACAAATCATTTTACTGGTCAAAAAGCAAAGTTTCTTTATACTTTTGACACATATCATGTTGTCCGGACACATCATATTATACAATATATTGCAGTTTAAATTTAATTTTAGAAATATACTCGTCCACATACAACGCTAGCCGGTTTTTTCTACAGTAGGCCATTCGAAAAATATTTTCAGCTTTGTTTCTTGCCAATGGAATCAAATTTAAGGTGGTTATTTAAATACCAAGAAGAGAGCGTCCTCTTTAAACTAAACTCTTAAATTTTATTTCTGATTATTAAAAGACAAAAACTTTGCAACCAACTTCCTTCTAATATTAGTTTACGGATTGTTTCTTGTTAAAAGAAAATAAAGTTTTCTTTTTAGAAAAATAAAATCGACGTTCACTAGTTCAGTTATAACTGAATGAAAAAATGTCATACGTAAATTCAACATTTGCAATCGAATCACCGACTACTCAAAATAAGACGATTGGACTAAATTACATTTACGATGTGCCATTCGAAGTGCTACTCTGGGTGAAGCTTATCATGAATGGTTATTTACATATTTTTATGTCATTGATTGGAGTTATAGGAAACATTTTAGTCATCACTGTTGTGTACCGACAAGGGTTGAAGGATACACCACAAATATTGATGATGTCATTAGCAGCTTCGGACGCTCTCTTTTCAACAGTTACTCTAGTAATCCATGTTCCTAATATCATTTTTAATGTTGATTTTTATCTAGCTAAAACAATTGTGACCTATATTAATGTGTACGTTGTGGAAATTTATTATTTTACTATCGTTCTGAGTTTCTGCACATTTCCACTCATCTCATTTGAACGAATGATTGCTGTGTATTTTCCTTTTCAGGTATCTCAAATTTGCACAACTTTCAGGATTAAGTGTGTACTTTCATCTTTATATGTGTATTCATTGGCAGCTACTATAATTTCCGTTTCATATTTTTACCCTCTCTGGTTAGAAATACCGTTCAGTAACAGATCTTATGCTGTAGTTGATCAAACTGATTTTTTAAAAAATAATTTGGATGTATTAAATTTAAGTCAAATAATAATTTTAATGTACCTACTCTCAATCATTCCAGTATCTGTAACAACAATTTGTTGTTTAATGATCATTTTAAAATTGGTAAGAAATTCCAGGTCACGTTTGTCAAAAGCCAAGATCCAAACCAAGAACTCTCGAAACATGCAAGTTGTTAAAATGTTACTGACAGCGTGTATCTTGTCTTGTGTCTCAACTATACCCACAGTAGCTATTGACATATTTACTCAAAGTGAATATACGGAAGAAGGTTTCATGACACTTGAATTTACCGAGGTGTTGCAAACAATAAATCACATACTTTTTCAATTAAGCCCAACTTTAAATTTTTTCATTTATTTAACTATGAGCTCAAAATTTTCAGCAAAATTCAAGCAAATTTTTCAACAAAACTCCAACAAATTGTGTTGTTGAAACTTGATAGATTTATTTAGAGAACTCCAGCTTCATCAAGAGATAAGAGCTCTTTAACTATTGGCTTTAATATGTTCAGCGTTCCAAAAAAAATATATTTTTTTTAAAACTTTGTATTCAAAAATAACATTTTACATTGGTGCACGTCATTGCAGACATTTATGAAAGTTTTCAAAGTTTTTAACATTATCATTATCTTTTTTTTTTTCGCAACATTTGTCTCTATTTATATTTCCTTCATTGTATTTGTTCAACGATATTTTTAATACCATATTTTTATTTTAAAAAAGTAATATTTGTCTAGCTATAAAATGTGTAACAAACTAATTCTTATACTGTTTAGATTACAGAGTTTTAGTAGAATAATAATACATTTTATCCAAGATTATAATAGTCTATTTAGCCTAAATTATTAATGCATTAATTTATTAGTATATACCTTCCGAAAAAGTATAATAATAATTATTAAGTGCAACGGGCCTTAGATTTAAACTTACTTCAAACCTGAAGATATGTAATCGTTTAATTAAAGTCATCTAGACCAGAAAATTTGAGGAAATTATCAAATAAAAAAATATTTTAAAAATGCTAAAACCAGAATTATGTAAATTTTCTTATAAATGTTACGAAGAAAATAACGTATTAATTAACATCAATATCTAAGGTAGTCCGGTTTTCAATACACATTTTCTAAATCCATACATTTTTCAAATTTAGTCATGTTTCTATTCCTTTAAAAGCTTTGTTAATTACTTATCTCAAAACTGTCTGTTAAAGATTTCATAGTAGTATCAGCTTTGCATTTACCATTTCAACATTATAACAATAGAATTAAGACTCTCCAAAAGATTAGACTCATAATAAAACTACATTGTTATGTGATACACTCTTAACTTTGTTTTAAGGGAAAAAACTAGTTCAACATCAACGTTCTTCTGCATATTTCTTTATTGAAATAATTAAGTCCTTAAAACATTTAACGATTTTTTTGTGTCATTCTCCAATCAATCTAAAAATCATTAAAATAATAGTTAACTTAAAATTAAAAAAAAAAAACAGGTCAAAATTAGAATTAAATAATATATACTGTAGTAAAGTCGCAATCTTTTTGTGACAAAATCCTATACCTGCGTGTTGCTATAGCTCCCCAAACCCACTGTGAATTAAGTATTACATTTTTTTTTGGGGGGTGGGGGTGTTGGGGGAGCTGGAAAACAAAATAGTTCTGATATGATCGAATCATTATTTATCAGCGGAAACAAAAATGTTTTTAACTTATTCTAAAGTGCAACATTTGGAAACCTACTAAACTTCGTATTACCTGCTGGTCTGGGAATTCCTCGTTTAACGTCAGACACCAGTTTAATACACTAATCAGTATAGCTAGTTTATCACACAACCAAAACATAATTCTCTTCAAGAACTATTTGAAGGATGATGCTCTTGTAAAACGATAATAATTTTGGATGATGCATCGCACTCACTTCATCACAGATAACTAGGATCCCATCCCACTCACTTCATCACAGATAACTAAGATCCCATCCCACTCACTTCATCACAGATAGCTAGGATCCCATCCCACTCACTTCATCACAGATAGCTAGGATCCCATCCCACTTCACTTCATCACAGATAGCTAGGATCCAATCCCACCTCACTTCATCACAGATTTCTAGGATCCCATCACACTTCACTTCATCACAGATAGCTAGGATCCCATCTCACTCACTTCATCATAGAAAGCTAGGATCCCATCCCACCTCACTTCATCACAGATAGCTAGGATCCCATCCCACCTCACTTTATCACAGATAGCTAGGATCCCATCCCACTCACTTCATCATATATAGCTAGGATCCCATCCCACTTCACTTCATCACAGATAGCTAGGATCCCATCCCACTCACTTTATCACATATAGCTAGGATCCCATCCCACTCACTTTATCACATATAGCTAGGTTCCCATCCCACTCTGATAGCTAGGATCCCATCCCACTCACTTCATCATATATAGCTAGGATCCCATCCCACTTCACTTCATCACAGATAGCTAGGATCCCATCCCACTCACTTTATCACAGATAGCTAGGATCCCATCCCACTCACTTTATCACAGATAGCTAGGATCCCATCCCACTCACTTCATCACAGATAGCTAGGATCCCATCCCACTCATTTCATCACAGATAGCTAGGATCCCATCCCACTCACTTCATCACAGATAGCAAAGATCTGCTCGATGAGGGCGAATTATTTCTTTTAAAGTTAGGATCTAAAATTATAGACACTATTTATTTCAAAGTCTTTACGTATTTACCAGCATACTCCCCTTTTATTACCAAAACTAAATTATCACTAATTAAGACCTTTTTGCCACTAAAAGAATTCTTTTGTGGATTATTTAAACGCTAGATAAAAAGTTTAGATGTGTTTGAATTTCTTTGTCTGGTTTAAAAAATATTTATTTACTTATGTGCTGAAAGTGAATTTGTTCAATTAGGATCAGTAAACTGATCTTTTAATATATTTTATTTCATCGAACAATGGTTTAACATCTGCTTGTGCGATAACTTATTATTAATTATTAAAGAATCAAGGGAAGAAAGTATTACGCTAGTGAATTTATTATTAGTAAAATTAGGGTCATATACACAACGTATATACTACATACACTGTTATTGATCGATTAGGGGCGATATCTCGTCTCTCTCTAACTCAAAGTAAAGACCAAAAAGTATGGATACATAATTCTTTTCCTAGATTTTATTGGATAAGGTATACGTATTCATGTTGTTTTTTTTTTTTTTTTTTTTTTTTTTTTTTAAATAAATTTATTCAAAATAAATTAAAAAAAAAAAGTCAAGATTATTATAATTTCTAAAAAATGATGTTAAAATTATGAAATTTTGAAGTGGTCATATGTTAAAGTTATCAAATGATTGTTAAATACTGAATTTTTTAAAATATATCAGATTGTTGTGTATTTTTATGAAATATGCGTTAAATGTTCGACTTACATGTAATCTAACGCTATTTTCACGTATAAGTTATTTTTTTTTTTTTTTTTTTTTTTTTTTTTTTAAATAATTTTATTACAATTAAATTAAAAAAAAAAAAGTCAAGATTATTATAATTTCTAAAAAATGATGTTAAAATTATGAAATTTTGAAATGGTCATATGTTAAAGTTATCAAATGATTGTTAAATATTGAATTTTTTAAAATATATCAGATTGTTGTGTATTTTTATGAAATATGCGTTAAATGTTCGACTTACATGTAATCTAACGCTATTTTCACGTATAAGTTATATCTAATTCAAACACTTTTTATAGGTATTTTAAATTTTCGAGTTAGATCAATTTCTTCTGAAATCATATTCAAGACTGTTATAGAGAGCTTGTTTACATAATATTTCTCGTGCGTGCCCTCTGATTGACCCCGCATGAGACGCTGTGTTCACAAAGGGGTGTGACGTAGTCTTTTATTCTATTCCTGCTTATGCCGCCAACCACTAAAATAATTAATCTGTTCCAAATAGTATTTTGTGTGCTCATATGTGTTTATTTCGCATTAGTTATTGGCACATTATTCTAACTGTGTTAACAGTGTACCAGTAGGAGATCTACCATACTGTAAGTTTAAGATTGTAATTATATTTTCTTTTCTTTTGTAATTCTCTTTAGACTTAATAAATCTTATTAATTGTAACTAGAAACTGTTTTGGGTCGTATCTTTAATATTGTTGACTCTATGGTATCGTCTTTTGTTAGGCACTGTTTACAACGAGCCAATTAAAATTAAAATAGGAGATTAATTTCTCTCAATACAAGTCAGTGCGTAACAGAGTCATTAAAATGTATTAAAAATATTTTTTTAATGTTATTTAAATAGATGTACGGAGATTGGCATATTTATTTGTTAAAAAATTAACTGTGTTGTCTGTTGTTAAGAAAAATTTGTATTTGAATCGGTTTTTTAATGTTGCATTTTTTATGTGTGAAAAAAAAAATCTTGTTCAAGAGAAACACATAAAAAACAACATATTATTTTTATTCAATGTTTTAAATTTTTTAAAAATTAATATGATTTTAAAAATTGTATGATTTGTCAGATGATTTTGAAAACTAAAGACATATTTATCGAGGGTAATGCAGATATACACTTTGTTTAAGAAGCCTAAGAGTTTTGTTTTAAATACTTGCTTAAGGAAATGTCTATCTAGGTCGTTGTGTTTGTTATTCGTTCTTTAATGTTCTTAGTTCACTCAAAACATTTTTGTCTTTTTTTATTATTTAATAAAGTTAACATCAAGCACATTTTAAAGACTGAATAAAAACGAAAGACAATAAAAGGGGCTTTTCCGCTTATAGACGTCATCAGGATAAACAATGAAGCGAAATAAGAAATGAAAAAACACTTAGAGCAAAGATTTTCGTTTAAAAAAATTTATAAACGGTGCTATCGAGCAATGGGGTGAGCAACAAACGAACTTGCAATTTCTGGGTTTTTTTTTTTTAATTTTCCTTGTTTTTTTATGTAAAGAATCTCATTTAGCGCAGAGTCCCCCAGCGGCCCAGTATACCTACCCTCGTACATGCCCAACACAGTATCTCAAAAGTCCTTCTATTCCCCTTTTATCTGGGTGTCCCGTATCGGCCCCATATGCCTACCATCGTACATGCCGAACACACTATCACAGAATTGCATCTATTTCACTGATACCTGGGTATCCCCTACCGTCCCGATATGCCTACCCTTGTACGTGCTCAACACAGTATCACATAAGATCATCTGTTTCTCTTTATATCTGTCTGTACCTTATCGGTCCGATATACCTACCCTTGTACATGCCCAATACTGTGTCACAGAAGATCATATGTTTCTATTTATATCTGGGTATCCCCAATCGGTCCTATATGCCTACCCTCATACTTGCCAAACACAGAAGTCCATCTATTTCCCTGATATTTGGGTGTCCCTGATTGGCCCGATA